TCTACCACTTAAACAAACTATATATATAGCTTTCACATTTTCATTTAAAAAAATTCTCCTAGATCTGGATCTGTGGGTGCCAGCTCTCCTGTCTGTTTGTTCTTCCATTCTGAAGAACCTGGTTCTGCTTGAACCTGGAATCATTTTCCTTCATATTGTACTTTGAATCAGATTTTAAATTCCTTTTGTGTATATTTTCTTTATCCAGAAAGTTTTAAGCTTGAAATATCTCTCCACTATAAAGGTTTTGTTTATTGTTTTCTCAAACATTATACTTACTTAATATACTCTCCAAATGACTATAAAGTTTTATATCCTGCTATAAAATAGCTAACTATGAGTACCTTTTGTATTTGTAGATTCTAGAAACCTTTTGGAATAACAGGATTCTCTTAAATGACTAATTACCCCAGATCTGATGCCTGTGTAATGCTATCTAGCAAGCTACTGTCTTTGTATGAAGAGTGGCTAAAAGCTCCTTTTTGTCCTGTTCATTTAAAATCATTTGCTTCTTATTTAATATTTGCAAAGAACACAGTCACCTTATAGTAGAATTTGCTGTTGTAAATTTTGGATTGTTTCCATGGGTTCTGCCTTACATCTGCATGGTGTTTAAAGCCAATGCTTCCTTTCTTTTTGTAAGCATTCAGGGCCTTTTGCCTCATAATCCAACGTCATGCTGAATGACAGAAAATTGAAGTTGAGTTTATTTGACTCTAGAGAAGAACTACACAGAACAATACACCTATTTAAGAACTCCTTATCTCAAGGACTGAAGGAGCTGTCTTATGCAGGTGGCTTAATCTCTCTGCTGCTAAGCCTAACTGTGTGCCTTTATTTATTAAGGACAGTACTGGGCACTCTGCTTCCAGAAACAAAAAGACCCCACTGATCTATCAGAACCAACAATAAACCAATAGGATGCATACACCTCATTCAGCAGTAAAGATATGTTCTTTGAATTTTTGAAATAATTCTTATTGCTTGTTTATTATAAAAAATTTAACCAAGTTTTTAAAAAAGCTATGGAAATGTATTAACCAACTCCTAAGTATATACTGGTGGCTGCTTACATTATAGATTATTCATAATGAATCTTTTTTTCTTGATTCTAAGTGGTATCTTCTCTCCTTAAGTAAAATGATTTATTCATTGACATTACTTATATTTCTACCTGACAGCCTCTAGTGGTTTCTGTGTTTTAAAGTAATAAAACATTTATTTGCTTTCTCTGTTTTAACTCAGAGGTGCTATAAATACCTAGTGAATAATCTGAAGGAACTAGCCTCCCTGCTCACTGGGTACTGTGATTTAAAGACTGAGATAATCTATGTTTATCTTGAAATAGGGAGAAAGGGAAATGTAGGTGGGTGTGTAGAGAGAAGAATATTGGAAAGCATAATAGCTTTTCCTTTCTTGATTTGAGTCATGATTGTGTCACTTATTTTCCTTTAAATCTAGTAAGTTCTAGAACTTTGATGCACAAGTGTATTTAAATGTGATCCTAAGAATACTTTTCAATACTATAAAAATGGGTGTTGAATTAGCTATCATTTTAACCGTTTGCTAAATTATCTACCAATTATCAAGTAATTGAGAATTAACTGCATAAAATTCATATATCAGGTACCAATTCTTTGGAGTTTATTTTTAAGATAATCAGTTCTTCCTCTTAACAACAGCTGCATTTAGAAGTAATAATACAGAATTTATCATGTGGACTTAGATCCATGCTTCATCTCATTTAGGATTATATCCTGACAAAAGCATCAAGGGATGTTTAATGGACTTCCCTGGTGTCTCAGATGGTAAAGAATTTGCCTGAAATGCAGGAGACCTGTGTTCGTTTCCTGGGTCAGGAAGATCTCCTGGAGAAGGGAATGGCAACCCACTCCAGTATTCTTGCCTGGAGAATTCCATGGACAGAGAAGCCTGACAGGCTATAGTCCATGGGGTCACAAAGAGTCAGACACGTCAGTACTGTAGGCAGTCACAATGATACTGTATTTGTCTTAATGACTTTCATTAATTATATTAACTTTTTTTTTCCATTTATTTTTATTAGTTGGAGGCTAATTACTTTACATCATTGCAGTGGTTTTTGTCATACAGTGAAATGAATTAGCCATGGATTTACATGTATTCCCCATCCCGGTCCCCCCTCCCACCTCCCTCTCCACCCGATCCCTCTGGGTCTTCCCAGTGCACCAGGCCCGTATATTAACTTTTAAACTTTCAAAAATTAAAATCTAAATCACCTCTTGGAATTGGACATTACACTAAGTTAGTACCTCTTTTATGTAGTAATAGATAATATTTTTCATTTACCTTAGATATACCTCTTTAAAGATTCTAGGATATGCTAAACAAATATATGGCTATACTGACCACATTTTCATGGACAAATGTCGTATCACCTTGAAGCTTTTACATTTTTGACAGTTCATGTAAGAGAGAAAGATCAAGACTTTGGGATGAAGCCAACCTCGGTTGAATCACAGGATCACTTCTAAATAGCTCTGTGACTTTTTATAAGTTAGTTAATTACTCTGATTCTTAGAAATTTCTGGTAAAAATAAAATGTATATCTGCTTTTCATGATAGTTATGACTATAAATTAAATGATGTAGGAGAAAGCATCCTGCACAGCACCTGGAACAGTATACCGTCAACAAATGTCAGCTTCCCTCCTTATTCTTCAGAGGATCGGCAGAAATGTTTTAGCTGTGTCTGTGTGAATAGAACCCTCTGTAAGCCCACATGTTTTTAATAATAAAGTAACACATTATGCATATTCATTAGAGATTGTCTTGTTTCAAAAGATAACACTCAAAACTAAAATCCCTATGTGTATGTTATTTTATCTTTTCCCTCATATAATGATATCACTTGGTAAGTGGAAAAGATATACCACACAAATACTATCTATCAAGTCCATGTTGAATTATTTATTTAAATAAGGAGCTGTACTCAAATAGATCCCCATACCCAAGTTTAAAATCCTGTCAGTTTGACTGCTGGCTAAAGCATTTACTCACTGTAAGATACTAGGCAAGATAATCAGAGATCTCATTTTTCATTACCTGAAAAATGGGGCTATTTGCATTTATGTGGCAGTTTGAGGGATAATATTAATATATGTGAACATGCTGAATAAACATAAAAATTTATACCAATATGTAGTGAATTCTAATTAAAACATTTGTTTAGAGTGAATTTATTTTCTGATTTAAGGAACTGGCTTATCTTCATAAAACAAAGTTAAGAAGGCAGATTAAAGATACATATAGAATGTTATATATTTGTATAGATGCATAAGCTAGATTCAAGATAAGCAGGAGAAACATCAACAGCCTCAGATATGTGGATGATACCACTCTAATGGGAAAGTGAAGAGGAACTAAAGAGCCTCTTGATGAGGGTGAAGGAGGAGAGTGAAAGAACCAGCTTAAAACTAAATATTAAAACAACTCAGATCATGGTATCTGGTCCCATTACTCCATGGCAAACATAAGGGAAAAGGAGGAAGTAGTGACATTTCTTCTTGGGCTCTAAAATCAGTGCGGATAGTGACTGCAGCCATGAAATCAGAAGACAACTGCATCTCGGCAGGAAAGCTATGACAAGCCTAGACAGTGTGCTGAAAAGCAGAGACATTACCCTGCCGACAAAGGTCCATATAGTCAAGACTATAGTCTTCCCAGTGGTCACATATGGTTGTGAGAGTTGAACCGTAAAGAAGGCAGAGCACCAAAGAATTGATGCCTTCGAGCTGGAGAAGACTCCTGAGAGTCCCTTGGACAGCAAGGAGATCAAACCAGTCAATCTGAAGGGGGGAAAAAAAAAACCTGAATACTCATGGGAAAGATTGATGCTGAAGCTGAAGCTCCAGTATTTTGGTCACTTGATATGAACAGCTGACTCACTGGAAAAGTCCCTGATGCTGGGAAAGACTGAAAGCAGAAGAAGAAGAGGGTGTCAGAGGATGAGATGGCTGGATGGCATCACCGATGCAATGGACATGAACTTGGGCAAACTTCAGAAGATGGTGAGGGACAGGGAGGTCTGGTGTGCTGTAGTCCATGGGGTCTCAAAGAGTTGGACATGACTGGGTGACTGAACAACTTTAAAGATTTTAAAGTTTACTATTAAAATACGTGATTAAAACACCTGAATAGATGCAACAGAAATTTTATAAATTCCAGTGTTTTAAATTATTTTCTTCATAGAAATCTTTTAGTCCACCCATGTAAATTTGTTTTCCACCTCATATCCAAAAAGAATACCAATGAGGGCTGTTACTGAGTGTAGGGTTCAGGCCTTAGTCCACACACAGGCTATTGGTGGGACTCAGATCATTCAAGCCATATGTTCTTTCTGCTCTAGTTTCAGTTCTGTATCCATACATGTGAGATGTGGCTCCCTGAATAATCTTCTTCAAACATTACTTGAATTCCCCAGTTCAAGACTCTATGAAAGCCAATTTCCTGCTTGTATTTTCTTGGCTTTGAAAGTCATTAAAATGCCTATTAGATGCTACCCAGAGTTAACAGATTCTTTACCAGAAGCCTTGCACATGGTTTATCTATTTCGGTTCTTACTGAGAGGCCTCAGCAATACTTCTCAGTTGCAGATCGCATGAGTGAGCTCAGGCAGTCAAGTGTTTCAAAAGTGAGTCACATGATCAAAAATTCGTATGTGTGCTGCAACATAAATTGCCTTTGAAAACATTAGCAAAATTTAGCCAATTAGCTGTTTGAAAATTAGCATGATGTTAGGGGCAGAAAGAGGCTAATAAATGGAGTCTATCAAAACCCAGTAATTCTGCTGGGTATCAGAGTACAGATGAGCTACATATGGTGATCCAAGTGAAATGGAATAAACAACTGCATCATTCTTCAGGAGCTGAGTGGAAACTCTTGAAGAATGTGTTTTTTTCATATAAAAATATCTGGATACTTAAAATGTACTAATCAGAAGAATACATTATGTCATTCCAGATTTACAGTGTCAAGTAGAAGCGCTTGGGCTAAAACTTCAGAAGGCAGTGACTGAGATGGACAACTACAAAGAAAAGCTCATGTAAGATGGTGAATACTGAACAACCTACAAGAATTTAGAAAGACCCTCATGTATTCTCTGTGACTCAGGACAGTAATTTGGTTGTGTGGGTATGGTCTACTGCTATTTTTCTCACTTTTCTGTCTTATATTGAAGGACCTGTACATGTTTTTAAATACATGAAATGTTTCTTTACCTATCCAGGGAAAAGTATTAAAGGTTTCCCTGTTTATTCGAATGTAGTAACTTAATATTCTCTAAAATTTTCTCTTTTCATCTATTTATTTTCTGTCCGGAAGAAACAACATTGAAGCTGTTTCTTGAAACTATCAATTTTAGATTCAAAAAGACAGTTGCTGTTGCTGCTAAGTCGCTTCAGTTGTGTCTGACTCTGTGCAACCCCATAGACGGCAGACCACCAGTCTCCCTCATCCCTGGGATTCTCCAGGCAAAAACACTGGAGCGGGTTGCCCTTTCCTTCTCCAGTTCATGAAAGTGAAAAGTGAAAGTGAAGTCGCTCAGTCGTGTCCGACTCTTTGCGACCCCATGGATTGCAGCCCACCAGGCTCCTCCGTCCATGGGATTTGCCAGGCAAGAGTACTGGAGTGGGGTGCCACTGAGTATCTTTGAAATTCTGGAGTGCTTGTGCATTACATAAGTGAGAAAGAAAATATTGGAAAACAAATGATAAGACAATGCCTTTGTAAAATATCCAGAACAATATTTCTTTTTAAAATGATTTTATTTCAGAAATTTCAAATATTATAGTGTAAATATTTGTGTTCGGTTGCTCAGTCATGTCCAACTCTTTCCAACTCTTTGGACTGTAGCCTGCTAGGCTCCTTTGTCCATGGGATTTTCAGGCAAAACTGGAGTGAGTTGCAATTTCCTCCTCCAGGGAATCTTCCCAACCTAGGGATTGAGCCTGCATCTCCTACATCTCCTGCATTGCAGGCAGATTCTTTACAGCTGAGACATCGGGGAAGCCCATAGTATAAATATAGTACATCTATAATTACAAAAAGGATTTATATAATCTTTGAAACATAAGTAAATTTTTTACTTTGTGGTATATGAACTGGTAGCTTTGATTTTCAGTTCCTATATTTTAGAAGGATGAGCCTCATAAGAAATATAAATATTTAGAATGCTTAGCAACTGAATGTTGTGTTGACCTTGAACTACTCCTAAGAAAAATGTGTTCAACAAAATTCTTAACAAGGAAGAACAAATTTTTAAAATACTGTGTCAAATTAATGTATACTTTGACTATTTGCAGCAAAATGATTTATTTTCAAAAGTTAAAACCAAATATTCATGATTTACGACACGTGGTCAATATTGCAGTAAATAATAGTTCGGTTTTCTGTGTATGATGGCTGGGGTTGAAAGAATGAGAGGACAAGTGGTACTAGCATGACTCACCGGGCCCAGCGAGGAACTTTCTGATGAAAGAAACATGAAAAAGAGAAGCAAGATGGGAATCGCCAGTAAAGAATCATTAGTTTCCACCCTCTAGTAACATCAGGGAAGAAGATTCTGACCACTTGGAAGGCTGCCAAGTCTGGCCACAGCCCATTTAATATTAATACGTGCCTTGTGATATTTTTGTTAGTTATATTTTTAATATAATTTATAATATGAGTGCTGAGAAATGATAAGAGTCAAAGGAGACTGAAGCTGGAGGGAGAAAATACTACATCACGAAAGTCCACCAAATGAATTACCTGGAGGAAATCACTGCAAAAATGCTGATGCTGTTGCTTCAGTTTATAATAAACCTGGTTCTTCCTATATGAGAACTTCTTAAAATTAGAAAATGAGCAAAGTAATCACTTTTAGAAAACTTGAGTTACAAAAGATAGAGCCACTTAAATGGTCCCAACTGCTAGAGACCTTTCTCTGTGCTGCCCATACCTACCCCTTCCCTCTCTACTCCGTCCATGCTCCTTCACTACCAGGATGAAGTTGAGTAGGTTGGGTGTTTGGAATCAGAGTCTGGGACAGCTTAAGGCACTCAGAGCTCAGTAAGTCTCCAGTAGTATTTAAAAACTATTTTATTAAAAGGTTAAAACCAAGTTTGCAAGTTGGCCATTGTTTTATGATAAATTCAATTTGAATTCAAAATAATGCACTCAAAAATTCAGCCATACAATTTCTTAATAAATTTGAGATTTGCTCTACATACTCAAACCTGTTTAAACTTCCAAAAATTGGAAGGCTCTATGAAATCATATTTTTAAAAAAATTAAATTCCTACTCTATGTGTGGGGTGGTGGGTGGGTACAGGAATGAGTTTCACCTCTCCAACTTAATATAATTTTTTTGTTTAAAGATTTTTAAATGTTTGGATATAAATTTTGTAGATTTTTATTTATGGGAAATGGCAGTTTTTAAATGGATGAGTTGAGGTTCTTTTCTCCCTAAGATGTATAAGGAAATATTTTCCAAGGTTTAGAAGAACTTGTTACATATTTGAAAGCAGAGATTTTATCACTTAGGATGCTTTGAGCTACAGGTGACAGAGGTAGAGTGGTTTCAGGTTTAGGCACCGACTCAGCAGCGTCACTAGGGATCTGGACCTTCTTCCTGTCTCCATTCTGCTGCCCTCGGCACTGGCTTCACCCCACGGCTAGGTCTCCTAGCATCACGGAATGACTGCAGGTCCAGGTACCACATCCAAGTATGACCACCGCAGGGGCCGGAAGGGCCTGTTTTTCTAAAGTCTCCTTAGAAGTGAGATGAGAATTTCCCAGAAGCTGCCAAATAGCCCTCTCATTACATCTCTTGGCTAGAACCATTTACAACCCTCTCTTAAATGAATCGCTGGCAGGGGCAGCAGGACTACCTGAGTTAGGTCAAGCAGAGTTTGTCCTGAGAACAGATGATAATGGGGCTCTGATGGCTGTGAAGAAAGCTATAGTACATGTCCACAAGGTAACCAGTAATGTTTACTAAAGAAGTAGAGTGTCAGTGATGCTCTGAAAAGTAATGACATTTTCTACAAATTTCGTGTCACATCTAGATTAATTTAGGGAAGACCTCCCTAAAGTAATAAAAAATATGGATGCTGTCAAATGCAACTTTATTAGTTTTAACTATATATGTATATATAAAGAGAACGAGGAAATACACTTCTGTTTTATATATATGTATGTAGGATAAGATAGGTAAATAAGACTAACAAGAAACACTGTTATAAAAGGTGAGAAATTTTTAGGAATTCCTAAAAGGAAAGACATAGGAAGGACAATAAGAAGGGTCAACTCTACAGAGGAATAAACTAGATGAAAAGTGATTGTGTGGTGGGCATGTGACAGGCAGGACTCACTTGGAATCAGTTAACACAAACAGAACAGAGTGGGATCTCGCAAATCATCATAACAGTGGTTCTCCAACTCCAGTCTACAGAAGAATCCTGGGGCGTTTATTGAAACTGTGTGTTACAGTATGACCTCCCCCACAGACCCAGTCCCAGGATCAGTGTCTGGGCTCCATTCCCACAGATATTCTGGTTTTACTTTGCGGTTTGGGATGTCTCTGAGCAATCTGCATTTAAAACACCCCCTCCACACACACACACACACACACACAATTCTGATTCAAGTCATCCAATGAAACCTACTCTGAGGAATCATATTTGGAACATTTAAGCCATTGGCCCCTCACCAAGACACCTCTCCCCCAATCAACAGTTCCTGTGTGAAGCAGCTTTTGCAAGGCATCTGCACCCAGAATAAAGGAATGAGTGTGAGGATTGGAGCTGGGGAGCCTGGCAGCTACTGAACCCCAGGAAATCCCAGGGTTCCCACATCCTAAGACAAATTTCCAGTGCCCCCAGCATACTCTGCCCCTTCATCACAACCTTTAAAAACAGTCTAGGCAACAGTAAACAGCAAAGCAGATGAGAAAACATAGAAATTTAGGCTTAGGGTAAACACCCAACCGAAGATTACCAGGTATGTGAGAAAAACCTCCCCCCAGCCTGTTCCAGATGGCTCTGAACTCACACAAGAAAATTTTAACACAAAGAGAAATTGTTAAATAGCAAACAGAAGATATTAAGACAAATTTTTAAAGTTAGAATATCCTTCAAAGTACATCCAGGATTGTAACCATGAAAGAATAACAGCCTGTTAAAAAAAAAAAAAGAAGCTATTAGGAATTTTAGAAATCAAAAATATGATTAGAAAAATGACTCCACTCATGTTAAAAAATGTATATGAAGGTACATAAAAATATATGTGGATTCAAATTCATTGAATAAATGATTGGTAGAACTGCAATAGTTCCTCCTGGAAGTGAGACTCAGGGGTATGCAGAGACTCTTGTTTTACTCTCTATATATGTTTTACTCTATATACTTATATATTGCTTAAATAGGTTGCAGTGTGAATGTATTCGTTTTCACATATGTAATGAAAAGAACAAAATTCACCTAAAACGATTTTATTGGTTACTGGTGAATATGTCTAAAATGGTTATATAAAATATGCTTCTACTTTGAGGACCTTTGTAACCTACTTATACTTTAATTTTATTAGCAGCCACCTCCTCCTCATTTAACTAATGATTGTAAGCAACAATCAGCCATGACCAGCATGAATTTCTAATTTATAAAGCTCTTACTTGACCAAATAAGAGCAACATTTCATACAGTTGAGGTGATCTAGGAACATTATTATTGCCTTCTGAGATATAATGTTCTCCTGATTTTCCTAAATGGAACTAAAATGGACTGGAATGGGTGAATTTAACTTAGATGACCATTATATCTACTACTGTGGGCAGGAATCCCTTAGAAGAAATGGAGTAGCCATCATAGTCAACAAAAGGGTCCTAAATGCAGTACTTGGATGCAACCTAAAAACAAGAGAATGATCTCTGTTCGTTTCCAAGGCAAACCATTCAATATCACAGTAATCCAAGTCTATGCCCCAACCAGTAATGCTGAAGAAGTTGAAGTTAAATGGTTCTATGAAGACCTACAAGACCTTTTAGAACTAACACCCAAAAAAGAT